GTAGGGTTTTCCCTTGGTTGCTGTAAGGTTTTCCCTTGGTTGCTGTAAGGTTTGCCTTTGTTGCATGTCAGCTGGAGTTGCTGTTGGGGTTGGTTTCTATGGGATCACACTGGCACCTCTCCAGACACAGGGAACATCAGCTGTGCAGGGTGGGCACAGTGGGTGTTTGCTGAGCACACTGTGGCTACCACAGCCCTCCTGTTCCTCACCAGGGCTGCAGGAGAGACCTGGCACAGCCCAGGGACTGCCCCAGCACTGACTGAGGGCCACATCTCTCTGCAGATTGTGGCAGGCATGCTGCAACTTTATCAGTAGTGGATGTAAAGTTCAAAAGCTTCCTTGTAGAACTGGTGCATGCTGCTATCAGTGTGTTATGAGTCCTGAACTTTTTTTTACCTTACTTGGTATTACTCCAGTCAGTATTTTCTTGTGATCTGAACAGTAGTTACAATGAATTGGTCTTTATTAGCCATTGTCAGCTGGCTGTGTTTTAGGGAACACCATGTGGCTTTGAGGAGGCATTTGAAGGAGGAAAGGGCAGTGGTCTTGAAACTAATCTGGGGAGTGTGTCAGGCACCCAGAACAAGGTGAGAGACAGTACCAAGACTGGGAACACAGAGGAGATTTTGATTGAGGTCAAACTGAGTTCAGATTGGATAAAGTTGTGAAGTGATGTGTCAAAATGCCAATGTGTAGGGAAGAAGTGGAGAAGACTATTGGGCTTAACCTTAGTTTAAGAAGAAGAAGGATACTGTCACCCTGCAGTATCCTCACAGTGGCCATCTGCAATAAAATGTATGGTTGGCTCCAGTTTGGATTTTTCAAATGCTGGGAGGCAAACAGACATTCCAACTTCTGTGATTAAGAAACTGTGGAAGACCCATTATAAAATTTTGCTGTCAGCTGCAGCTTTATCACCCTGGGAAATCTTACAGGATGCAAGACTATGCTATCAGTCATTTACTGCTGCTCCTTACCTGGCTGTGCCTATTCCTCTGGTTTCTTCAAGTTTAACTGTGTCAGTCTCCACTGTTGAAGGCCCTCCCCTGGAGGTCCCAGCAGTGCCACTGCCTCCCCCTTGTTGTGTGTGTGACCCCAGGGCCCTGCACAGGGGATGGCACAGAGAGGCCACATCCCAACACACCAGCCCAGCAAACATCTGAGGTGGTGCTTCAGCCACTCTCCTGGCACTCCCTGGAGGTAAACTGGCTAAAAGCCCCCTTAGGAAGCCATGCTCTTAGATTTTACAAAAACAGGTAAAAAAAGTGGTTTTTCTTTTAAAGTTAAAAGCAACTGGGGACAGGCACTGAAAGCAGGGATGTGTGTGGTTTTCACAGCTATGAGGTAAATGTATGGGTTTATTAAAGATGAGATTATGATGTGTAACAAGTGCAGGAGGCAGATAACCTTTTTAAGGGTAAGATTTCATTGGACCTTTCTTCTAAATGTCTGGCATAATATTTTACTGTTTTGAATAAAAGCTAAATCTAATCTTGTGTCATACAATCATAGACTCCTATTCTTTGGTAGTCTCAGGGCAGGGGACATCATCAAGTAAAAGCACATGTGCTGACTTTAGGGGAAGGATGGGGTTGTGTCCTTGGCAGGATTTGGTATAGGTATTGTCCTCTGGGTCTTAGGAATAAGTTGTAAAGTCATTCTTTCTTGAAGCTGTAGATGTAAAAACACTGAGGAGTTGTGGGTATGAAATGGATGTCCTACTAAGAAATGGTGAGAACTGATTCTATGATACATGTAAGTGAATGTTGGGAAATATCAGAGTATCCTGAATTTGGCATTAAAACTTCACAAGATACATTTTCTAATCATGACCCTAAGCTACTGGATTTGAGATGAAGCAAGATCAGTAAGTGTAATTCTGACTTATGGAGGTGGGCCAGCGTGGGGCTAAAGGCCAATAAAGCTTCAGTTCAGTGTTTTAAAGTTTCATTTTTGCTTTCAGAAATAATATTTAGGCAGTAAAATTGAGAGAGAAATTGCACTGTGAGTAGCAGGACATTTTTTTGTAACTCATAGCTATTAATACCAAGCTGCACACATGTTAAAATAGACTGGAATGGAAAGGTTAAGTGTTATCCTGCAGATTTGATAAACTCATCTGTTGTTGTCACGGGTCTTTAAGTGACTCTATTGACAGTTTTTCTTTTTTTCCTCTTTCAGTGCCTGCCATTGCGTGCTAAGCTTTTCTCTTGGCTCTGCCTGGCAGGAAAAAGGGGAAACTAGAAAACCCCATTAGTTGTCCATTTGCAGAATACCCAGGCTTTACTCTCAATACACAAAGAAATACAACGGTAGGAAGTTGTTTCACATCCGAGCCAAGATAAGGTCCTGGAGGTTTATTATTTTTGTTGCCTGATAGCATCAGGGCTGGGGAGCAGGGGGCAGAGAAGGAACAGCAGATCAGCATCCCATGGGGACAGGAGGAGGGAAGACAGACAGATAGCCAAGTGCCGACAGCTTCAGTCAGTGCTCCCAGAGGAAGTGTTGGTTTCTCCAGATGAAATTCATACACAGGAGTCTTTACAGGGGCACTCAGATGGGACATTGTTTGAGGGGCCTGCCTATATGGCAGATGTAGAAAGCAGTGAATCATATGTTTACATATAATTAGGTCTGTATTGACAAGCCAGGTTTTCCTTTTGTTTAATAATTTCCTACATTAACATCAAAGAGCTTGTTTTCCTAATGAGAACACATTTCCCTTTTTGTTTTGCTTTGCTATAGCTCTGTATTAACATCAAACGCAGCCCGTGACTCACGCAATGAGACCTAGAAATGGACAGATATCCACAGTCATTTAAAGCTTAAAAATAGATGCAATGCTAGCAAATGTCCTTAATTTGGATATATTCAGGAAACATTTTTGTGTGATTCTGTGCACCCTTGCAGATTTTGGGGGTACCTGGTTATTTCACTGTGCTTGTTAACTTTCCAATACATTTGAAAAGTTAGATAGGATTTAAGATTGTAACTTGTGGGTCAGACATTGCTTCCTGAAATACTCGCTAGAAAGCTCAGTGTAATGGTAAGACTTCAGTGGTCTAAGTGGTAACTATGCAGAAAACACTACAGAAGTATGTTTTTTGAAGATGAGATAATTTGACATCATTGGAAGGGGAAGATGGAATAAAATGTAGGCTTGGTAGGAGTTGCCTCATGTGTTTTTAAATGCATTTAAAATGCTGTTTCTAAACTCTGCAGAAATAGCTCAAATACAGAGTTTGAGCCAACTAACTCAGCACTGAGAACTTGAGAGCAAAGTTGATACAGTTTGTCATCCAAACTGAGGGAACTAAAAAAGCTTTAAGATAAGTGTGTTCAGATAACAAGAAAAGAGGACTGAGGAATGTTTAATGTTGAACAACATTATGAATAATTTTTGTCAACAAGTAGGCACAACACACTGTTAGCATTGAGTGCCATTCAGTCAACGTTCATGGGAAATTCTCAGTGTGGAAGTTACTTGGCTTTTATATGTATATTCATGCTACATTAGGAAACTGAATTTAGAACCTTCAATAAATTACAAACCACGTGTGTTTGGCACTTTTTGCAGTGGGTGTTGTCCTTCATATTTCTAAAGGATAACTTCCTCTGGAATAGTCTGAGCAAAGGCAATAGTGATTGAGCTCCTCTGAACAAAGGAATTCATATCCATACTTGCCACCCCTGCAGCTTTCCCAGGATGAGATAAGTTTTGTCATGTTTCTGCTTGGGCTGTTACATAACGGGAAGTTCTTGGAAACCCACAGTGGAGGATACCAGCTTTTTAGATTAACACTGCAGATGATTTTCAATAGCTTTCATTTCTTTTTTTTTTTTTCCCTTAAGGCCGAGCCCCTGACACTAAAACTCTCAATTTGGAGACAGTTGGAGTGAAAACTAATTCTGAAACTGGAAAGATTATTGTTGATGCCAGTGAAGCTACTTCTGTTCCTCACATTTATGCAATTGGAGACATAACTGAGGTACTGAGTCTACATAAACTATTTTACAATAACAGGAAGCCAACTTTGTTCCTGACTAATAACTAGCCCCCAGATGTCGTCATGCCCCAGCATATATCTTGGTGTTTTGCACTTTTTCCTTTGGCAGAGCTGTGGTGTTTGTGCCAGGACCTGGGTCAGTCACTTCCTTCACATGGATCCTGTGAAGTGTCTCAGCATGGGAGATTATTGCTGATGTTTATCAGGGAATGCATCATTGGTCAGAAGCTAATAATGATGTATTTATCACTTCAATTATCTTCCTAATAATGTTTTTGTCACTTTAGACACATGACTTAACGCTGCCTGTGAATGCTGAGTGAAAGCAGTTCTTGCCTTCTGGAGATGAGCACACTCGGTGGGAATGACTGTGACAAGTTCTGTAATTCCATGTGTAGTATTTTGGGTGTCAATCTAGATTAAACACAAGACAGCTTTTCAGCTCCCTGATGCAAAATACGTCTGACAAAAGTATCTTCCTCTAGAATAAGAAAAAGTAATTGCTGAAAATACTAAATGCTTTTGACTTCTGTTCACGATTTGTGAATGATTATGCCAAGGAAACGTGAGTTATGTGGATTTGTTTGTTTGTTTTTTAAGGAGGGGACATTATAACCTAAGCAATATAATCTAAATACTGTAGCAATATCCAGACATAATGTCTAGTATATTTTTAGAGACCTTTGAAAGATTTCTCATTCTGCCATGTTTTAAATGGTTTAAGGGTCTCTCAGATATAAACCCTACAGGTGCCCTGAGTTTTGGAAAAGATGTAACAGGTTAGATAATGTCCTGGGAATAGCCCTGAACATTTCTGACTGGACTCTGGAGCTGCCCAAGGCACTTAAATCACAGAAATCTGCTGACCACTCCTGACCTCTTCCCTCTGTGTAGACATGTGTTTTTTCCTGGCTATCTCCATCTTCTTGTGAATGACTTGCCATTTCCTTTTAAATTGTGTTAAAAATCTTTCCTTTTTAGCTATTTCTCCTTTTTTTTCCCCCTTTTTACTCTGCACAGCTTCTATCCTGTCCAGTCTCTCAGAGTTTTGGGATTTTGTAGAATTCCTGTCCTTTCTTCTCACTTCACGTGCAGGTTCCCTCTGTACTTATCACTTCTTGCTCTGGGATATTTCCTAAAGTCCACTTTTTGCTCACAGTGGCCTCCTACACCTGCTTGTCCCTGATAAATATGCCTTGCTTGGGCCTCCTGCTTTCCAAACTTCTCTGTTTGATTCCATCCAAGAAGCAGTTGTTAGAGGCAATGCTGACAGGGCTTAGATTCTGCTGCTTATTTTGCTGCCAATCTGCAGTGTTATTTTGGGCAAGTCATTTCCTTTTGGGTGCTTTTTGTCTTCTCCCCTTTGAGGATTTGGTTAAGTAAGAAATATAAAGTTGGAGGCAGGATGCTCTCCTCTTTCTTGCTCTGGATCTAAAAAATATTGTATTCATTTATTTGTCATCTTTATTTTGTTGTTAAAAGTTGGATTTCCTTTTCCTGCTTTTGTCTTTATCAGTGCAGATTTTTGAACTTGAGTTATTCAATAGACACTTTTAAATGGAAATGTTAAAAACAGCAACACAGTTCTATGCTGTGTCCAGTGTACAACTGGGGAAAAACGAAGAGTTAAATCAGGTACTCTGTAGAAATACTCTCTTAAGCTTTTATCTGCAGATGGGCTCAATACAGGGAGTTAAAGAAATCATGGTGTAGTAATCATACATTTAAAGTGTTTAGAGATAAAAGGAATTACTGCCACTATCTTATCTGACTCCAGCACACTGTGAGCTGTGTAATTCCACTTGCTAAGCAATTAAGTTTATTTTATTTGAATACTTAAATCCATTTAGGCCTTTTTTTTTTAAGCAGAATTAATTTAGATAATAAATCACATTGGCATGGGAACCAGCACTAAAATGAAGTTCTGTGTTGGTGCCCATCTCAAAGCACACACACAGGAGAATCAAGTGCATCCTGCTGGGAACCACAGAAGCTGCAGAGCTCGAGGTGTGGTCCTGTCTGGGTGTGACCCACCCAAAGAGCAAAGGAAGGGGAACCTCGTTTCCTCTGGAGGAGCATCAGGGATCCCTGAGAGTCATCAGAAGAATAAGATTATTTTTTTCCCCAGGTTCCTGCTCAGGATTTCTCTTTGCTCTCCCCCTGTTCGGAGTGTTTTTGTTACCATGAAGTGCTGTTCTCACACTGTAGCTGTGCAGCCTCCTCCCTCCTGAACAGGCTCTGGATTGCTCCCACACGGCAGGGACTGCTGCTGGGGTGGGAATGCAGGGACTGCTGCTGGGGTG